TTTCTTGAGCTCGTCTGCGTAATCGTGGATGGATTGTCGTAGCCTTAATGCTCAGCTTTGTTCCTTTCTTCTTTTCTTTGGTCTCTTAATGCGGTAGCGAGCAGTGTAGAGGCCGAATGGCTGTGTGTTGTCTATGGACTCCCATTCAGCTTCAGGGCGTAATGTTAGCAATGCACACGGCAGTGATCGTGAGACAGCGTTATTAATGATACTTTATTGAGACAGCGTTATTAATTTGTTGACTGGTCGGATGCAGCGCACTCCCGTAGAGTGATACCAATTGCCATGTTGCCAAACGTGGCGGGTAGTCTTTAGCCACCGCTACTTATAATCTATAAAATACTCGGGTTGTAAATCACGGCTACATATTAGAGTGTAGTACCAAAATTTATTAGGAAACCAATTGTGCTGCCTGATTACTGCTGCCACGCTCCCCCAAACACCAGCAGAAGCTGAAATGTCACGAAGTCAGAGCCATGGAGTGCATTAAGGCAATAGCTTTAAATGCCTCATCAAAAACGAAAATTGATCGCCGGCGGCGCCCGGCGTCTTCTCGCGTCGGCGGCGTGAACACGAGTGATGCAATAAATCATCATTACGAGAAAACGTCGTCACATATCATAAATGTTGGTGACGTATCGAAACGGCACATAACTTGATGGAGTCATACAACATCTTTGCTTGGCTGAAATGGGCCGATCGTGATGAGAGTGCATAGTCGCTGAGGGGCAGAAAGCTAGCTTTGTCTTCGATCTTTGAGGCAGTAAGAAAATCATGTTGGGTGCAGAAATATCCCGGAGGGAAGTAGGAAACATTCAGTGCATTTAATCGGAAGAAAACGAGGTTAGTTTTTGTCTTTCAATCATCTCAGGCGAATTCATAAGGAAATCGGCAAGTTTCTTTTGTTGTCATTAATGAGAAACAAAAGGAGACAATCTCATTTTTTTTTTCGTCAGATATGCAGAGTGGTACACAGCAGTATTATATACTGATGCAAGAAAATAATGAAGTAGCAATAGCTTGAAAGAGAAAATAAAACGCGAATGCTATAAAGCTCGAACGCATATATCAACCCGGTAGCACGGCCTGACAAAGGCCGGGATAGCAGCGTGCCGCTATGTTCGTGTTACTTTTCATCCTCCCTGCATTCGTGAAAGTCGTCAAGAAGTACGACTGCAAATTTACTTGCATAAAAATACGAATTCGCGAGCATCCTAATATGCGCGGCCGTTCAGTGCCAGCATCCGGAAGTCTACTCGCGCTGCGCCACCATGTGGCAGTGGCGACGAGCGGAGGCGGAGCGCGCGCTCAACGGCCTGAAGAGAGTATTCGCCCGGGCACTGAAAAAAATAGAGGAGGCACTGACTAGTGTAACTGTATATGGCCCCTACGGGACCAGAGTAGCGCATAGGTCCGCCATCTTGCCGGGCTAGGAACTGGCTATGCGGCGAAATCACCCTCTGTTTCTGCAAGCGACACCCCTGCAGTTTTTTTTTTTTTTTTGTCGTGTTGCTTATTGACATACTTGGCTTCATCCTTCACGCACTAGTACAGTGCCTGAAAGCCGCTTTTCTGCCTAATTGCCAACAAAGTGCATAGTAAGAGCCGATTAAATAGCATGGTAAAAAAAAATGCAACGTTCTTGCTCAGCGTGTGGCGAAAAGCGCAGAGCAAACATTGTCAGCTTCTTTTGTTTTGCAACATTCACATTTCGCAAATTTTCAAATTTTTGACCGGATACCAAGCGGGAACATTCCATTTCACGTTATGTTGGTGAAATGCAACATTCGTGGACTTTGATGGTACATGAAACTACCCGATTATTCTCGGTGAATATAACTCAATGAAGAGTTATGCCTTAGGCTTTTAAACTGCGTATGACGCATGCTTGTATGATGCATGCTTGTTACTTCCCTCTTTTAAAATGATTTGTTTCACATGTAAGCGCAAATTCTTACCCAATATGCAGCCTACATAAAATTAGGAAGATTTAGAATAGCGCACCTCGAGCCCTTGCGGTGCAGTCACTGCCACAGCGCATGCGTCGTAACGCGAACCGACGTTCGCGTTCGTGACCTGCCCGCAGGAAATCTGACATAGCAAGCGGCGATCGCGGCCCCGCGAAGTGCTGTCTGTAGCTTCCGTGCATTTGGCTTTGCGGTAGGGGCGAAAGTCCCTGGACATTTCCCTAGGGTGAGCAAATACTATTCTAAAGCTCACATGGCACCTGCAACTGAAGCAACGCCTGCAACACCTGCAAACATCATTCTAAAGCTCCCTATTAGTTTAGAGTTCAGCGCAAAGTTTTGGCGTTGATTCACATCAATGCCGCGGCAAGGTCGGAACCCACAAAATTGGCCTGAGCGTCAGCTTCTCCGCAATGCATGATTTTCTGGTCCCGTAGGGACCATATACAGTTACTTTAAGGTGGACGAGGCTTACGACGTGTGAAACGGAATGTCTATATTCGAGTTATACATTTGCTGATTTGCATCCTTCGTCGAGAACTCTGCAGGAGGCTTGTCATGAAACATAGAAAGCGCGCATTCTGGAGGAGGGTCAGTCGGCACCCCTGGACTCGTAGGAGCCCCTTCGGTAGTTGCCACACGAGGGCTCATGCGCAGGTCAACGTGGCCGATGGCTGCTTCTGTGGCAGGCGTGAAATGAGTGGTGTGCTCTGCCATAGGCAGGTCAGGCACGTTGTACGCATGCGCGTCAGTCATGGTTGCAACATCTCGCATATTCGGCCGTGTCTGACGAGAGGCATGAGTTTCTGCTGCAGGATAATTCGAAGGCGATGATAGCAGCAGCTGGCACGATGCACAGAATGTTGACGTAGATAGAAAGTTGCTTTCGGACATCGTCGACAGCGAAGCTTTCGCGATCGGGGGGGGGGGGGGGGAAGCAAATAGCGGGCATGACGATGTCCCGGGTTATGTCGGATGGGTCGTGGAATGTGGCCGATGGAGAAGACGTGCGGGGGCCGAGCGTGCCTGCACGACCATCGGCCGAGGAATTAGAAAAAAAAAAAAAACGCACCTGATGGTAGACTGGTCGTTGGCAGCAGGAACGTCTTGAAGAACCTCGTCGGGTCAGTGACCGGGCGTGAGAATCGCTATCGCTGCGCTAGAGGCCGGACGAAGGGCGCTCCTCGTGGCTGACTGGTTGAATGCATCACGAACGTCCTGAACCTCGTCAGGTGCGCCCTCGGGTGTGGGACTCGCTGCGCTATCGGCCACACTAGAGGTAGAAGGAGACGTTGCCGGAGAAATTAGGTCGCGATAAATGGAGAGCTGTAGGCCAGAGGTTACCACGGGCTGCAACGCAGGGGAAATCTGGAAATCGCGGATCTCCAGAGGTGCCGGGACAGGTGTGGAGTCATCAGGCAGGTCTGCTGGCCCGGCTGAGGTCGTCGAATCACCCGGTGCAGACAGTGCAGCCGACCAGGTCTGTGCAGCGAATCCGACGCCGCACAGGGCAGTGGCCGGCGCTGAATCTGCGAAGAAGAGAGATGACAATGGCTCTGGTGTCAGAACCGGAACATCGAAGGCAGAAGCCGTGTATTCTGGGTGTGAGGGTCTCTCCATGGACGAGTCGACGAACCTGGGAGGGTGACCTCCGTCGCTTGTGTGGTCAGTTGTCTGCAGTGGAATGGTCTGCACTGGCTGCGGGGCGGGAGGCGTCCTGGAAGATAATGAGCCAGGTGCAGTTGTGTCATTTTTGGGAGAAGTATCCCGTTTGATGCCGTAAAACTTGAGCACAGCATCTCGCAGATCATAGTAAGGGTGAGGGCTCCAGGAGAAGTATGTGAGGTAGCGTTTGAGGTCATGTGGAACATGATACTCCAATACCTCGTACATGAACTCTTGGATTCAGATGTCGTTGCGATCCAAGCCTGCCGCAAACTCCTCGAACCATGACTCTAGGAGAGAGGTCCGAAATGGTGGCAGTGGCAGGACGAAATGGGGCTGCTAAGCTTGCGCTGGCTGGAAAGTAGTCGCCGAGCTCGGTGGCAGTTGTGAAGCATCGGTCTCTTGTCCGTGTGTCTGTGGTCACCTATTTATAGGCTATCGGACGGTATCAGCCGCAGTCGTGCCATCCTCGCAGGTTAAATGAGCAGACGGGTCAAGACATACAGGAGAAAGTGAGCTGCCGAAGAAAAGCGGTGGCCGTGGCGTCCAGCCAGCCACAAGCAAACAAATGTTCTAGGTGCTTTCTAGGTGCTTTACCTCACGAGCCCGCCCCGCTCATCATCTTTTTTTCTAGCCGGTTGGCCACCATTAGCGCTACGCAACACTAGCATGACATCTTTCGATGGTCAGTTACCCATTGCAGCACACTGCTTGTCATCTTATGGGTCGCTGTTGTGTCATGCAGCCTCTGCAATTACATTTTAGAACTGTGCTGTAATGCAAAGTAAAAAAAAAGTGGCAGCAACTGCAATGACTTGATTAATGTCTTGCAAGACATTGTTCCAGCTGCATCTTTGCACATGACCACTGTGAAAGAACTCTGCATATATTGTTTTTAGGCGCTGTTATGCATCACAGATCACGCGAATTTAATGCTTATCTATATTGCCATTGCAACAAGCCAATGGGGGTTCCATCAATGAATGCAATGAAGGTGTCCATGAAACAAAAACACATCTTTACAATAACAAGAACATATTGTGACAGCAACCCTCTAAGGTCACTTTGTTCTCTGCTTATCACTGTGATGCAGAGAGAGCAAGAGTGTTTGTCAATATATTCACAGCAGGGCCACATTGGTGTGCCCCAATGTTTGTTTGCTCTGGCTTTGCCCTCATCGTTGTGCTTTCACGCCCGTAAGTGCAAGGAGGCATTCAGGAATTATGCCCTTAAGGCACAAATTATGGTAGTTTACCTTTCATTCAGATTTAAAGAGATAACACAGACTTCACGACTGTGCTGTTTTGCCTTGTACGGCCGCTATGCTCAAGCGAACAGCGCAGCAGTCACAAAGCTGGAGAGACGCAGTTTCAGGCAGTTGGCCATAATTTATTTCTGACAACTTCAAAGCTTGCTCCAAACCACCATTTCAGGTCCTCAGTCAGGCTGCTGACACTGGGAGATTGATGAAGTGCCACAAACTATGGAGCAAGCAATGACGCAGGTCCACAACCACAATGTCCACAGTGTGTACCAAGGGACTGGTCAACAAAGAAAAAAATGTTCTTAAAAATTGTGACTCTGCATGTAAGCTTTTGCAATGTCCCATTGAGGCCTATTGCAGTGGCCCATGTAAGACGAAGGCTGGCTACTGTCCGACACGGACAGAAAGAATCTGAACATCGATTTGAGGCCAGCTAACATACAGGCTGTTTCAGCATGCTGCTTTCAGACATTCCTGTTTAAAAGAGCACTGACATCAAACTTACTCATGTCAAGATTTTTGCATCAATGAGTAGCAATGGACCCCCTGGTAGCGATTTGCGACACATACTCAACTTAGAGATGAATAGCTATCACTTTTATTGATTTTTATCACTGATATCTAGCATGATTCAAAATGACTGGAAATCCCACGATGTTTAGAGCTCGAAGCGCTACCAGTGGCGCTAACTTGCGGTGACCTCCAGACCACTTTACAGCAGACCACTTCTCCACAGAAGAAAGTGACGTCAGGCCATGCTGCTCCGCAAACATTTCGTCTGCTAAGTCCACACATTCATTCATGCCTTGTCGCCTGCGTTGCCGTCGTTGCCATACAAAATGTCGACTAGCCTCGAATATGACAGTCTGGAGCTTGTAATCGCCGCAATTCGCGATGTCATGAGTCATTTTCGCTTTGAACCACCCTTTGCGGAACAGCGATTCCAAAATAGACGCCATACCAAGCAACAATGAGGAGGTGCCCAAAGATGCATGCTTCAGCCACGCTCGCTCGTGCGTAAAAATGAGCTATATTGGTGTGTTTAGCAAGCACATAATTCAGGTATACTCAAAGAGGTCAATGAAATAATGATAAAACGTAAGTGCACCAGCGGAGAAAAGGAACATGTTCCCCACTGCCAGGTTTTTCTTTGCGCCTCCAGATGGCCCCCCTTATCCGTCCTCTCACGGTGGCGGTGGCAGTAGCCCAGTATTACGTGGATGCAAAAAAGTCTACGAATGAACTATAATTCCCTATTACCGACACCCACAAGTTATTTGTTAGCGATGATATCTGCTATACACTACTCCACTTCTATAGCTAGTGGTCATATTGGCGTGCAACATTCGTGTAATGAAATTACATCCTCATTGTGCTTTTTCCACCCTTCAAACTACACAAATACAACTCATAACAGCTCCCCCATGCCCTGACTGACAAGCATATGTTGAATCAGGCTCTTTTCTTTTGCCGATATATTATGGGCGGTTCGTATCTTATCGATTTCATGAAATCATCCAATGCCGTGCGACGAAGAGCAGACATGACGAGTGAGCGCATTTTCAGGCGCCAGGGTAAAAACACTCAGATCGTAGAGGTCACCGCAACTAGCCCAGAGTCACTCAGGATGGTATGAGTGGAATGTATCACTCCGAACACGTAGCACTAGTGTCGATGGCGCAGAGGCAGTCTATTTTCCATTAAGCTCTCGTAGGCTGTTAGCCGTCAAAAGAAAATAACTTTCACGCGGTGGAGGCAATTCAAATGTGGCCAAGGGGACCTACGTGCACCGAGCAATTGAATAAAGGACACATCTTGATTTTTATATTTGGTGTCGGTGCTCCTTTAAAATTATAATAAAGGTATGTGCCATGAAAATGGCAGTTCCTGCATATAATATGAACTTTGTGCTACTTGCTTAAGGTGTTGTGACTTATTTTCACTAAGCTCTACCTGCCTTTATTGGTCTAAATTTTAAAGCAATTACATTTTTTTGTTCACACTGTGGAAGTGAGTAAGACATGGTGAACTTGTATAATTACAGTAGCACATTTTGTTAGAAATGATAATTTTGTGAAATTGCAAAGCTATCCAATTGCAAAGGAATTAATTTTTATCAATTTTGTGTAACGGCTGTAGTTACAATGACGGCTGAACCACCATGCTTGCGGCTTTGATGGACACAGTTCCCTCTAGTGGCAAGTTTTGTAAAAAGCTTACAGGCAGCCATCGCTTACACACGTTACGTACACACATGTTGTTTGTAAAATGAATACTTATAAATTACTTAACTGCTACACTACACAAACCAGCTTGTGGAAAACTCAATTTCAATCCCAGTGAATTCTATGAAAAGAAAAAATAATTAATTTCCCCACTATCATAGCGCATCATATCATCTATCATAAAAAGTTGCAACCCTCAGTCATAAAATGAACCGTACAAAGCTGCTGAAACCCACACAAAAAGCAGTCTATGGTTCTATATTTTTGTGACCATTTCATGGGAAGTTTGATAGTTTCTCTGCAAAATATCTCAAGACATTACTACTGTTGTCCAGATACTCCCACGAAAGTATCAACTTCAAGGGCTGAACTATCTGAATGTGCAACACCATCAGTGGACCCTGCTTGAATGCAACATGCATTATTTGTTGCAACAGTTGCCACACATGAGTTTTTCTGTCTTTGATGGTGACCGCAGCCAGAATGACACACATTTCCGGTCCTCCTACAGAGCATTTTTTGTCAGCATATAACGAGGGGCAATGCAAATACATTTGTGTGACATACCGCCACATGTGAAGGGATACGAAAAAAGTGGGATATTTTTTACGTTGTTCATCCACTAGAAATGTGACCAGAGTTGAAAATGAACAGGAGCGAACACACAGTTCGTTTCTCAAGCATCAGGAGGTAACATCGTTTTTGACATGATATAACAACAACAATAAAAATAAAAAAAGGCTGACAGAGGTTAGGCTGTCCTACAGGTTGCCAAGAAATCGAGCCGAAATTGGCTCAGTTTAGCTGCGTGGCATGAAAGATTGTGATCACAGATATCTAGAGGTCTCCTTGTGGGTCAAACGAAGGAAACCCATATGCCGATGCTGCTTGGGCTCTGGTGAATAGACAGTGTTGCTTTAAAGAACAAGTCTGAATGTTTCACACATTGCTTTTGTTCAAGCTCCAATGATGCAAAGAATTCAGGTAAACTTCCAAACGAACTTTGTGAAATTGTTTCTCCACTTCCTACTAGTGTTCATTTCACCCAACTGGAGAGCTCTAGATCACTATACAACAGGAATCCTTGAGTGATGCATACAGCAATTTTCGGGTGTGTGCTGGAAAAACACCGAAGGTAAGAGGTTCACTGGGGTGTGATCCTGGAGGGGTTGGAGAAAAAAGGAAACGTGACTTCTCAGGCCTTGCGTGCGGGTGCATTGTACTCCTCAACGTCAGAATCGCTGCCCTCGGACGCTGTGTCGTCAAGAGCTAGTCGGTCGAAACCCCGGTGCGGCTGCAGAAGCTGACCCAGGTCCAGCTTTCCCTGGGACCAGCCTTTGCTGCTGGACCCTTTGTCTGCACATGCAAGCCACAGGAGAAGACTCAGCAATGTGCCACACACCTCACTCAGGAGGTGTCCAGCACAACAAAAATTACGGCCTCTCCAGACACGCATGCATTTGCAGGAGTCAGCTGGCAATGGGAGCACTGGTTCGACAAGAATGCATGATTATTGACCCAAGTTTTGTGTTTCCATATTACTAATAGTGAACACTCACAAGGACACCAGAGCAAAAGACAGGTCAGCTGCTAAGAAGTTTGTAAGTATCGTTTAGAACAACGCACAACCAAATAAAGCAGATGGTCTGACTTTCCTCCATGAGCAGCTTTGTACATCTACAGAATGTAATACAGCAAGCTTCCATTTTTTATATATCAGTTAACGTAATTTTTTGGCGACCAGTTGACATAACCTGAACTGGAAGTCTTTGAACGTACCCATAAATTTTTATGGGACCAAATTTTCATTGTTTCGATCCTAAAATTATTCTTTGCTGAATAACTTGAACCTGGTCGTATTATGCGCTCAAGTCCAATAATGACTGCAGTGGTGGTTCTGAAAGCAGTGTCCCTCTTGGCAGCTTTCAGGGTATAGCAAAATGTGAATAACTTGAACCTGGTCGTATTATGCACTCAAGTCCAATAATGACTGCAGTGGTGGTTCTGAAAGCACTGTCCCTCTTGGCAGCTTTCAGGGTATAGCAAAATGAGCCTAATGCAAGGCTTTACTTAAGAGTAGTAGTAGTAGAAACTTTATCGTACTAGAGAGAATTAGGGTGAAGTCCAGGGCCCCACTGGCCTTTGCGGCTGGGCCTCATTGAGCAGAGCAACTTGAGTTGAGTTGAGTGTATTTACCACATACAGTTGTGCAGTAAGTGGCTGCGACAGGGGGAAAAACAGCTTGACAATGCCCAACATCTTCATGTTCACTGTGACAACAAAACAGCAAAAACAAAGTAAACGACAGCACAGTTTAAAAAAGCAATGCACCTGCTTTGCACCGGAACAAAGAAGTTATACAAAGTTATACAAACCAGCAACGCACATGAGACTATAGGTGGCACCATCGTTCCCGCGAAAAAGTGGATAGGCGGTCGGCGGCGCACATACAAATACACGCAGCAGCGCTTCCTTGCGTGCAATCTGAGCTGACTATAAGCGGATAAAATGCGTTGACTACAGTTTACTGCATTAATATCTACTATCTTCTCTAGTCAATCAGTGCACGATGCCTATGCAACATTAACATTACCCGTGAGTAAAGCGCAATCTGCCTTTCATAGAGATGCTCGCCCTACGTGACTGTCTTCACGCTTTCGCACTAAATTACGCCTTTTCTGTGTTGTCTGTAGGTGGTTAGCTTGTGTTCCGCCTCCTACGCACTGCTGTAGCTTGACTGAACTACTTATTTACATCGTCATCTGCATACCTCAAATACCTCAAAAAAGAGAGAAAGAAAAATCGTAAATAGCCTGCATATCTGTGGGATTAGTTCAGTACCACCGTTTGCACCTTATACGCATGTTTTTTTTTTCCTACTCATTCTGTTCACCTTGAAATGTGAGACAGTCAATAAGTCTAGTCAAGAAAGCTTAGTGGCTGACGGCGCTTTACACAATACTACGTTTACCATGTGTACACAGATGTTCTTGCACCAGTAAGAATATAAAAAAATCTTATATAAGAGTTCAGCAGAAAGCTTTCATCGATGAATTAAGTGCATGACAGTGCTAGAACAAGAGCCTGGCTCACGGGACAAGCATGTTTTTTTTGTTTTTAGACAAAAAACGACCACTGCCTTCCGTCAGTCACTAACAATGCCACACAAATAATGAAAACATTGTAGGAAAAGATAAAATTTTCAGTGAAATCATATGACATAAGGCATGCCATTTGAATTAATTTTCAATGTCTCGGCTCTTTAAAGCATTCTTAAATCGAAACACACTGTTGCGCACAGTAACTCTGTTTTAAGTACAGTTTAAGTACTATGTGTCACAGTTGATGTGATAGTATTATTTCTATATAGTGGTACCACGACCAGATAAACAGAACTAAAGCTCCCTGCATGATCGATAAACTATAGTGCCGTAGTTGTGCACCTACCAACAGCACACAAGTGCATGACCTAGAGCCTCTTTTTTTTTTTCACCTTCGAGTCACTATAAAATGCTGCATTCACACACCATTTAATAGTCCTCTTGTTTGGGAGGATGTAAGGAGCATTTTGCGATGTGCTTGAAACAGGAAGTGGCACTCACTCTGAAATTATTCTGGTGAACGGAGGGTACATCGACAATAAACAGCACTATGAAAAGTTGTACTCACCGATCTTATTACAATGCATTAGCAGTCGAGCACGACCAAATACTTTCGTACGTCGCTTCAGGCATACATAGAAACAGTTACACTCGCGCTGACAGGACCGGACAAACCACACTTTGAGAACGTACATGACGTGCTCACACATAGAAACACGACGTGACTAGCAGACGACACACGGAGCTATTGACACTTCACCTCTTCGGCAGTTGCCGCCAGGCGGCGACTCTGCTCGATCTCACGGCGAATACTTCGGAAGAAGGAAGTATACAAACAGAAAATAATACTATGCACATAAACTAATAAAGCATATTTAAAATAGAAGAATCAGAGAGCGTCCGGACATTTTCACAAATAATGCCTAATTTATTTAGCGTGTACGGCAAGCAATAACGCAATGTCTCAAAACTATAATTTGCACGTGGTCTCGGAACATGCATATGTTCAGAGTGTCGGTTTAGGCACGTCGAAGGATTCAATTGTAAGTTAGCGAAACTACCCATATAGCCGCGACCTTTCATGGTATCAGATCTAAAAGAGATTAGTAAGAAATATTCGTAGAGCAGGCTTATTTGAACATTTTATATTTAAGGAATATCTGTGAAGTATGAGCATTAAAGGAGAGGTTAGCAACAGAACGTAGAGCTCTTTTATGTAAGATAATAAGACTGCCAATAGATTGCTTTGTTCCATTACCCCAAATTAAGTTGCAATAACTCAGGTGTGGGGTAAATAGTACATTACACATCACAAGTTATTGATGAACTGGCTATAGATCCTGACATTTTCTCAAGACACCTAGGACTTTGCAAAGCTTGTTGTATAAAAGCTCTGTATAATTATCCCATTTCATGTGCTCATGGAGAACAATGGCCAAAGACTTTGCTGTTGAAGAGGATTCGATATGCTGTTGTTTAACATAAGATTGTTGGGTTCAGTATTTTCATTAGAGGTGATTTGGACCAAAAAATAACAGCTTTTGTTTTGGAACAATTTATAAGTAAAGAATTCTTAAGGGTCCAGCTGTACTTCTTTAGTGATGTTGAGTTAGCTGTATTTATGAGATGATTAATGTTGTGTAGTGTGACTGTGGCCGCTAGGTTTGTGTAGTGTGACTGTGGCCGCTAGGTTTGGCGGCAACAGGAAAGACAGCTACGAACATGTGATGTGTGGCCGCTCCACCTGGCGGCGTTGAAGTGGTTCTGAGTTGTTTTTGATACGCATGTGGTCAGTTGGTGTTTGCCGGCGGAGTGTGGCCTGGCGTAAATAAACGTTCGTGTTCCTCAACCCACAACATGCAACACTGGCGACGAGGATGGGGTTGGTCGGCATGACGTCCAGCGCGGCAATGGAGGACGGGCGGAACCCCGGACAACGGGAGGCCTCCAGCAATGGCTCCCTCGAGCAATTCAACTTGTCACAGCCGGACGAGTGGGAAGACTATGCTCAGCGGTTCGAATTCTTCCTGGAGGCGCAGGGCATTACGGATGCTAGAAAGAAAAGGTCGACGTTTCTCAGCCGTTGCGGGGCCGCGACGTTCCAGTTGGCCAAGGCCCTCGTTGCGCCGGACCAGCTGAAAGATACGCCGTACGAGGGCATCATCGCTGCCCTTCGAAATCATCTTTCGCCGAAACCACCGGAATTGGCGCGGCGATACGAGTTCCATCGCAGAGAGCAAGCAACCGGTGAGTCCGTCGCTGCATACCTCGCGGCTCTGCGAACGACTGCACAGCACTGCAACTTCGTTGACCTTGATAAGGCACTCCGAGACCGTTTCGTTTTCGGCCTGAGGAACGATAAAGCTAAACGGCGCATTTTGGCGAAAAAAGAAGTGTCGCTCGCCTGCGCCGTCGAGGAAGCTACCGCCGCTGAGGCCATCGACCGTGAGGCCAGCCAGTCGCGACTAAATGCAACCGCGCCGCGTACCGAGCCAATGCACCAGGGAACGGTCGCCGACTGTGGAGAGGACCAGGACGGCCTCGGGGAATGTGTTCGTCAGTTACGTGCAGACACCAGTCAACGCAGGGACGCAGGACTGGGGGGCGGATCTTGTGCCGGTTGTGGGGGGCCGCACGAGCGCCGGTTGTGTCGTTTCCGTGATGCCCAATGTCGAGGTTGCGGAAAAACAGGGCACATAGCCAAGGTCTGCCGGTCTCAACGGAAGCGGGACCGCCGTGCAAATTTTGAGACAAACGGCAGGACGGACAATTCGCGGACCACTCCGCGTGCGAGTACCTCGTACTGCGACAACCTCACGGAGACCGCCATCCACGATGTGCCCCAGCCCGGGTCAAAGAAGATTCACGTTGCTGTCGAAATTGAAGGTGTGGAATGCGAGATGGAGGTGGACTCGGGATCCACGTTTTCGCTCATCTCCGAGGCTACGGCCAGGCAAATCTTCCCGAATGGGTGCATCCCGAAGTTGAAGCAACTCGGCGTCGTTATGTAGGACTATCAGGGAAACTGCATAGCAGTGCAAGGGATGGCCACAGTTACAGTAAAATTCAGGGGTTTTGCTGGCCCACTGAAACTTGTCATTGTCAAAGGGCAGCGTCAAAGCCTCCTTGGACTAGACTGGTTTCCAGCATTAGGAATTAAGGTCACCGGAGTGCATCGCATGGACGAACTGGCCACGGCATTTGACAAGCTGTTTGAGGAGTTTGCTGTTGTCTTTGACGGGGGACTGGGGCGCT